TTTTAAATTACATAATAATACTACATCACGATCCTATGAATTATGTAAGACATTGATCTAGACAATTCTGCGAGACACTAAAAAAAATATAAAAAACCAGACCTGCATCTGATCTAGTGGTATATGGTTTACTAGCCCACTAACCACAGTTCTAGGCTCATTTTCACCAACATTAATTTGTTCAACATACAATGAGTCAGCGTCTGGATGTTTTTCAACTTTAACGATATGTCCTACTCGAATATCAAGCAATGATGGTACCATAGATATCGGTGCTGTCGCAGTTTGTTTACCACTCTTATTTTCGCCCTTCTTAGAATCCTTTTTTTCTCCGCTCTTTTTAGGAGTTTTTTCAGCAGCTTCTTTTCTCGGCTTTTTATCCGCTTTATCATCTTTTGCAGGTTCGTTTTCTGTTGCAGTAGTTATTGACGTTTCTGCTTTTTTTTCTGATTTCTGATTTATTGGTTTAACTTTTTTTGCGACCTGACATTTAACGTAAAAAGTTCAGATATATCTAATAATTATTTAAAGAAATAATAATCCATTTTACCTTTGGTGCTTCCAAATCAATTTCTATTAAATTTAACCCTGCTTTAGGACCAGCTTCCACGGCTGCTGTGTGTTGAATAAAATCAAACCATCTTGTCAGGTTAGGTATCTCGAATCTCTTTTGAGTTGGCAAACCTGCCTATTAATAATAATGCTTTAGCATAAGAACTGTTATCATATCGTTTTTAAATTAATATTATTGTCTCCTACGTGCCATATATCCATGAATTCGAGCAAAAACAGCCAAATCTCCTGCTGATAACTTATTCCCAACAAGATAAGTCCTAGATGCCAGATGTTCATCGATTTTCTAATGCAAATTTAAGTAAGAAACTATCTAGATCAACATAAAAATATGGATTTACGTACTTTCGCGATTTCTGCTGCATTTTCATCAATTTTAGTTGTGTCTTCTAACCACTTCTTCAACTTTGTGAAATAGCGTTTATTAGGACACGGATAAATAGGGAGTAGTTATCGCAACTAACCACCTCACCTCACCCGTCTCGGTTTCAGTCGTAACCGTTAACTCACGCGCATGAGTTTCCGTTAAGTATAAAATTAAGTTATTGGAGCCATTTATAGAGTTTCCGTCTGAATGCGTAAGCTTTGAAGTCTTATAAAGAATGTTATTAATGCTGAACATAACATTATTAAACACAAAGCTAAATTTAATAACAAACCTCAACATTAGACTCGTCCACTTTAATATTAGTAGTAGTAATTGAAGAAACATAATGATAGAATAACTT